AAAAGAAAAAGACAGAAATAAGTAACAGAGGCACCTTCCCTGCTGATGTATATTTGAAAAGAATGAAACTTAACTCATAATTATAATTAAATTGAATGGCTAACTTATTTTTCCATAATTTTTCTGTGTTTAGAACTGTAAGTCCACAAATTATGTTTATTTTGATGTTAGTGAAGATCCTTATTAACACTGAAATCATTAAGATCTTTAGTCTCTAAGATACCGAATGGGTCACTAACACATATTTGTTAATTACCAACAATGTGAGAAAATGAAAAAACAAACATAAACCCACATAAGAAAATATATTAGTGAACATATATTACTGGCAATAACATTGTATTGGCAAAAAGATGAGGATTAGTGAATAATACTTGCAAAAAAATCGTTAGGGAGCTAGGCTTATATAGGTATGTTAGTGACAAATATATACTCTCACAGGAATATATTTTAATCTCTTACATTAGACATTAATTCTAGATTCTAACTGCTTATGCAAAAACTATAATGTTATTATAATGTTATTGATCACTCTGTGGTCAATAAACCTGATGCCCCTCAATGCAGAATAAATTAAACACAAAAGAAAGGTGATTTACCTGATTCCCTCCCATTCTGTGGCAGGGTCCTAGCTCAACAAAGCCTCCATTTGTTTTTCCCATGCTATCAATGCAGTAAGCAGTTTCAAAGCCTCTGATCTGAAAAAATGAACAAACAAAAAACAGGCAACAGTTTACTTTTTGATAAACTCTGGCATCAGAACTTAATATTTCATATTAAATATTACAGTTCACAGGGAAAATCTGGGTATGCATAGTGACAGGGTATTACTGTATTATCAGTCTTTACATAGTCTGGAAATCATTTATGGTCTTGAAGTCAACATTGGAATGGATTCTTTCTCTAAGAGCATAGGACTATAGATTTCCCTAAAATACCACAGAGGAAAAAAAAATTACCATTAAATACAATTTCAGAATCACAGTAATTCATGTGAAAGAGAAGCAAATAGAGAAAAGCTACCTAGCCACAGTGGTAATAGACACTGGCCCTAGATACCTAGAACAGACCGGATTTGTAAGGGACCTCTTCCAAATGGCTGCGCAGCACTTCTGGTAGCTGCCTCCAAGGGCCTAGGGTGCAAAGGTCACTCATGACACAAGGCCAGGCAGTGAGGCTTTTCTCTATAGACAATGTAGATGAAAAGCAAACACAGGTTTCCATCTTTGGAATGTACAATTTCTATGAAAATAACTATTTTTGGAAATACCGTATATTTCTCTGAATTATAAATCACTTTAGTATTTGGATAAAATGTTTTATTCTTGCATTCAGCCAGCAAATACTGACTCTGCGCCTCTGATGATAAGAGCTTTTGAGGATACGAAGAGGAGCAAGTCATGGTCCTCACCGCCTGTAGAGAGATGGAGGGGTAGCAGCCAGTCAGGATGGAGGTATGAATTTGCAGAGGAAGAGCTGCTACCTTGCGTGGAGGGGCTCTGAAGACTGCCCCAAGAGACACCTTTACAACAGGTAGGGGTTTACCTTGGAATGTTAAGGAAATGCCGAGAAACGAAGTATAAAGTGCAGATGTCAGAATGGAGAGAGGTTAAACTGAAGATATATTTGGGAGTGAGATAGTAAAAGGAGGACAGAAAATTCTATCCATTTATTCATGCATTTATTCAATCGCCAAATACTGAGTATCTGATGTGTGCCAGGCATGCTGTAGGATCTGAAACACTAGTGAACAAAATAAAGACTGCCGCCCCAGTAATGGGCATGCCGCAGTGAACGTGGGCCCCTTGCCTACATTCACTCTGGGAACGTAAGGAAAAAAAGACAGAATATAAGTTAAAAAACATAGTAGACAATTTTTCTGCTATAGCAAAAGATGATAAGTATGGTGAAAAAAAAGAAAGAAGAGGAAGTTAGAGTGGGAGCTAGCGTGTTGGGAAGTAACAAGGTGGACCTCACTGAGAAGTGGCAGGTCAGCAGACTTGAAGGAGGTGTGAGAGCTGGCCATGGACAGGGCTGCCTGCAGGGAAGCATTCCGGGCAGTGGAAAGAGCACAGGCAGGCGCATGCCTGGAAGGAGTCCAAGGACCAGTAAGGACATGGGGCTGGAGCGGAGTGGGGAGAGCAGTGGCAGGTGAGGCCAGAGAGGAACAGGGACAGATGTTGTGGATCTTGGAGACCACCAGAAAGGACTCTGTCATCACTCTGAGGTGAAGGTGCACGTTTTCTTGCAGAGGGACATAACTTCATTTTAAAACAATCACTCTGACTGCTGTATTTGAAATAGGCTGTAGGAGAGCCAACATGTTAGTCTCAGTGAGAGATGATGGTGGCTTAGACCAGGCAAGAAGGAATCAGATTCTGGAACTAGACATGAAGTGCGAAACAAAGACAGGATTCGTGGAAGCTCCAAAGTGTTTGGTCTGAGAAATCGGTAGAGATGGGTAGGGGGAGGAGATAGGAAGTTCAATTATGGCTGGTTGAGTTTGAAGTGCCTGTTAGACACTCAAGTGCCGATGTCTAGCAGGCAGTTGGATGCAGTCGTCTGGGCCCTCAGAGAGAGATCTGTGTGTTGAAGGGCTTATGGTATAGTTGGGAGTTAAACATAATTTGCTGTAATAGGACAGGTAAATTAAGAGTAAAGGGAAAAAAAGGTATTAAAGCAATAAGTACAGAGAGTGCAGCATGAGTGTCCTCTGTTGGTTTCTCCTTCCATTCCTGAACTCTAAGTGCTGGCACTTCTGAGGGATGGGTCTTCTCTCCTCTTCTCTATCTGTATTTTCTCTCTTGGTGACCTCGTTCAGTCCCATGAAATGACCTACCTGCTGATGGACCCAAATGTGCATCTCCAGAGTGGCCTCTCTTCTGGATTGTGGCATCATACAACCTACGATCTATCATCAGTAGGCCTTAACAGCTCTACCTGAATATTTGGCAGGTACTTTGCACGTTCAGAACACCAACAGAAGCCTTGCCCCCTCCATTCACTCCCCTACTATCTTCCCAGTCTCAGCAGCCCAAATGAAAAACATTATCAGCTACTCAAATAAAAAAAACAACCTGTGTCATCCTGGCCCTTATCCTTCACACACCAACCCATCAGGGATCTGCCTCCAGAAGAATTATGTTTATGCGATTGTTCTGCTTCCCTTTATCTCCACTCCCTGGCTCTCTGATTGGCTGACTCTTTACCATTCAGATCTGAGGGCAAATGTCGCCTCCTCAGAGATGCTTTCCTTACCCTATCCTTAAGTCCTCTTGACAGTATTAGGTGTCATTGTCATTTATCACCATCTGTCATTATCATTTTTGCTTTCTCTTTTTTGGTCTCTATACCCAGGTAGCATGCTAGTTCCCTGAGAAAAAGGACTCTGCTTGTCTTATTTTCTGTCTAGAAGAGTGACTGGCACATAGTAGGCCCTCAACCAATATTTGCTGAACGTAATTAAGCAGAGGGATGTGGACTTGAATGTTCATGGCAGATTTAGTGTGCCTGTGGGGCAGCAGTATAAGGCATACAGCAGGGCTGAGGGGTGCAATCAGAAGTGAGTCTGAGGACAATTTTGAATAAGCAAAGAAATGACAATGTCTGATTTTCAAAATGCTTTTATTTGATTTTAATTATTTTTAATTCATTTGAAAAGCATTGTTGGAGTGCCTATTGTATATGGGTCCCTGCATCAGTCCACCTGGACACAATGGTGATCAAGGTCCTAAAGCACTCAGACTGGCTGGGAGATGGGCGAATTTGGGTGTTGTGAGAACCCCTGGGAAGAGCATAGATGTGCATCTTTTTGATGAAGTGAGGAAAAATAAGAACGGCTTTTCAGTATTGGTGATCTCTAAGCTGAGAGCAGTGGGATAAACTGAAGTTAGTTAAGGAAGGGAGTTGGAGTAAGGGGCATGGAGGTGCCAGGAGCTGGAGCAAAAGGCTGGCAGGAGACAGCCTGGTGGCAAGCTGGCCTGGCAAGCCGTAGCTGTGGAGTGGAAAGGTGGTAGATGCTATCAGAGAGTTTTTACCCAAACTTTCCCCCAAGAATACTTTTCTCTTACTCACATAGTTCCACCTGTCTCTGCCTTCTCCCAAACTTAGTCTACAAATGCACACACTTTGAGATGTGACTATCAGCTGGTACTTACTTCTCCCCAGTCAATATTTTTGGGTGGCAAAGGGTAGTGTGAGGTGATATCATAAGCTATTTCTTCCATGAACCATTTAAAACTTTTACAGTTGTGATCTTCTCGGAATTTTTTCAGCTCTGATATATCCCCATATGGTAATGCCTGTGATTCAGGACGACTAGCATAGAAGTAGTCTTTATATTCATCCCACCAAACCTCCACAACTCTAACATAATTCTGTAAAAAACAAAATAAACATCATTATAAAAAGACAAAGGTCATATCATAAACAGCCTATATTAGACACATGAAATATGGTTTACACATAACAAATTCATTTCAATAGGACCTGACATTTAATCAACCAACAAATGCAAGGAAGTTAATGACTCTAATATGTCATCTGCCTAGGATTAAAATGTCATGTATATTTAAGCAAAAAGTGTTATATACAACCTGATATCCCTGAGCTGGAAGATCATATATACTAAGATAATGTATTCTATTATGCTAACAGAAGAAGAAATTGAATCACAGAGAGAGTTTATGAGAGCCTGGCTGGACACTGGTATTTCTACTCCTAGAATAACTTCTTTTCTTTCTTTCTGTTTTTTTTTTTTTGTTTGTTTGTTTGTTTGTTTGTTTGTTTTTTTGAGATGGGTCTTGCTCTGTCATTCAGACTAGGGTGCAGTGGTGCAATCTTGGCTCACTGTAAGCCTCAACTTCCTGGGTTCAAGTCATCCTCCCACCTCAGCTTCCCGAGTAGCTAGGATTACAGGAGCATGTCACCATACCTGGCTAATTTTTTTTTTTTTTCGTAGAGACGAAGTCTCATTTTATTGCCCAGGCTCGTCTCAAACTCCTGGCCTCAAGAGATCCTCCCACATCAGCCTCCCAAAGTGTTGGAATTACAAGAGTGAGCCACTGTGCCTGACCTATAATCTCTTTTTAATAGAACCATTCTACTGGTAAGTATAGGGAAAAAAAAAAATCTCATTTCAAAAACCATCATGAAAAACAAAAGCTCTATTCAATAAAACATACTTTTGCAGGTGATTTTATTGATCCTGTTATCATTATAATAGAACCATTTTACTATAACCTCAACTAAACTGGGTATTTTCCCCAGTTGGCTCACTTTTTTTTAATTAAAAAAATTTTTTTTTTTTTTTTTTTTTGAAATGGAGTCTCACTCTGTCACCCAGGATGGAGTGTAGTGGCATAATCTCAGCTCACTGCAACCCCTGCCTCCTGGGTTCAAGGGATTCTCTTGCCTCAGCCTCTCCAGTAGCTGGTATTACAGGTGCCTGCCACTGCACCTAGCTAATTTCTGTATTTTTAGTAGGGATGGAGTTTCACCATGTTGGCCAGGCTGCTCTTGAACTCTTGACCTCAAGCAATCCCCCTGCCTCAGCCTCCCAAAGTGCTGATATCACAGGCATGAGCCACTGCACCCGACCCTAGTTTGTTCATATTAAGGAAAAGCAGCTACAGAGCAATAAAATATGTTGACACTGTGATAACTGACAAATATCTAGCTTTTAAGGCTTTAATCGATGAATGAATGCTTGCATGAATATATGTGATCAAATGGGTATACACTTGCTGTGATTTGCATGTGGCTTGTCTGCCAAAACTCATGTTGAAATTTGATGCCCAATGTGTCAGTGCTGGCAGGCAGGGCCTACTGGGAGGTGTTTGGGTTGTTAATACATTAAAGGCCTCATGTGGAGGTGAGGGGGTGAGTTCTTGCTCTCCCAGGAATGGATTAATTCCCACAAAAGTAGTCTGTTAAAGAGTCTGGCCTCCTTGGTCTCAAAGGAAGCAAGAGATGTTTCCTTTCTTGCCATGTGATCTTGTAGTACATGTGCATCCCCTTCTGTTTCCCATCATGTGTTGAAGCAGCATAAGGCCCTCAACAGATGTAGCTACCCAAGCTTGAATTTTCCAACCACTAGAATCTTGAACCAAATAAACCTCTTTTCTTGATAAATTACACAGCCTCAGGTGTTCTGTTGTAGCAACACTAAATGAACTAAAACAATACTCAATCCCTCATCTTCTACATCATGCATCAGCAAATACTCTCTATAAAGGCCCAGACAGTAAGTAAGTGTCTTGGGCTTTTTGGACTATATAGTTTTCTGTGGCAACTATTCAACTCTGCTGTTTTAGTGAGACAGTAATCACAGACAATACACAAACAAATGAGTGTGGCTATGCTCTAATACAACTTTATTTACTAAAAAGGATTGGATTCAGCCTGACAGCCATAGTTTCTGACCCATCCAGAGCAGAAATAGTAAACGTTTCAGATCTAGCATTCAGATTAAATGTTTTCTAGGTAACAAGTTAACTATCAAAGGGTGAACATGCCCCTAAATGCATTGTTGTCACAAAAGCCCATGGGTTTAAAAAAGGCTGCTATAGGCCGGGCTGGGTGGCTCACGCTTGTAATCCCAGTACTTTGGGAGGCCAAGGCAGGTGGATCATGAGTTCAGGAGATCGAGACCATCCTTGCCAACATGCTGAAACCCCGTCTCTACTAAAAATGCAAAAATATTAGCTGGGAATGGTGGCACACACCTGTAGTCCCAGCTACTCGGGAGGCTGAGGCAGGAGAATCGCTTGAACCCAGGAGGTGGAGATTGCAGTGAGCCGACATCGCGCCACTGCACTACAAACTGAGTGACAGTGCTAGACTACATCTCAAAAAAAAAAAAAAGGCAGCTATAAGCAGTATATGATCAAAGAACATATGATATTACCACTTGTTATGGGTTAGATCTGTGTCCCTACCCAAAACTCATGACTAATTACAATCTCCAATGTTGGAGGCGGGGCTTGGTGTAAGCTGGCTGGTTCACGGGGGTGGATCCTTCATGAATGATTTAGCACCAGCCCACCCCCCACCCCCACGCCCAGACTGTCCTTGTGATTGTGAGTTCTCGTGACATCTGGTTGGTGAAAAGGGTGTAGTACCTTCCAGCTTCTCTCTCTTGCTCCTGCTCCCACCATGTGAGATGCTTCATTCCCCCTTTGCCGTCCACTATAATTGGAAGCTTCCTGAGGCCTCTCCAGAAGCAGAAGCTGCTAAACTTCCTATTCAGCCTGAAGAACTGTCAGCCAATTAGACCTCTTTTCTTTATAAATTACCCAGATATCTTAATAGCAGCGTGAGAACAGACTACCACATGACTCAACATTCTGAACCCTTGCAAATCCATACGAAATTAGATACAGTACATGTACTCTAGACATGAACAAACCTCAAGAGTTATGTATACATGCGTAAGATTATAGCAATAAAAAGAAGGAGCAATTGGTTGTCTGGGATGGACAGGGCCAGAGTGGCACCGTGTTGCCCCATCTCGAAGGAGTGGTTAATTAGGTGGGAATGGTATTCAGGGCAAAGAGAAAGGCAAATGCAGTATGATAAATTTTAGCGTATTGTAGTCTGGCAAATAGTTTACAAAAACTGGAATGCAATATTTACTGAGAGAAAACTTGCTTCAGTTTCTTCATTTTAAGATGAGGACATAGGCCAGGCATGGTGGCTTACACCTATAATCCCAGGACTTTGGGAGGCTGGGGCAGGTGGAGTTTGAGACCAGCCTGACTAACATGGTGAAACCCTGTCTCTACCAAAAATACAAAAATTAGCCAGTGTGGTGGTGCACACTTAGAATCCCAGCTACTTGTGAGGCTGAGGCAGGAGAATCGCTTGAATCCTGGAGCAGAGGCTACAGTGAGCTGAGAGTGTGTCATTGTACTCCAGCCTTGGCAACAGGCTCTGCCTCAAAAAAATACAAAAAAATTAGTGAAACTAATTTTGAGGCAGTGAAACTCTGCCTCAAAAAAAAAAAAAATTAGTTGAGGATATAGTCCTTACCTCATAGTATGTTGTGAAAATTAAAAAGTTTATCTATATAAAGTATTTACATTTATGCCTGGTACATTGTAAGCACTTAATAAATGCTAGCTGTTATTAATATTGTTATTCTTTTTAATAGAACTTTGAATTTTACCCTTGAGATGACACGTATGGAAAAGTTTTAAGCAGATAAGTGACATCAAATTTAATTTTCAGGTGAATGACACCAGTGGTGAGTGAAGGGTGGGCTGAAGTGGGTTGAACCTCATGGCAAAGAGCCAAGTGGAGGCTATTTAGTATTCATGGAAGAGATTTGAGGAACTGCACTGAGTATAGAAAGGGATGGATTGAAGAGCTATGAGTGAGGCAGAGTCACCAGTGCTTGGTAAGGGGGAGGGGCAGGGAACAACCTTACATGCTCCTTAAGTTTCATTCATGGGCAAATAGAGAACACAGTGGAAGGAGTAACTTTTGAGGAAAAGTTAAAGGTCAGTTTTGACTCTGTTGAGTGAAAGATCTAAAGGACAACGGAGGATAATTCCAGAAGGTCTGAGGCTCAGAGGAGACAAATGAAGTGGAGAAACAGACCTGGCTGCTGGCTGATGGCTCAAGGAGATGCTGTCAAAACTGGAGAAAAGAAAGCCCCTGGCACATGCCAGGCATTTCACTAAGTGTATGCTACATTCACACTTATTGGTTAGTTTGTATGGTATATATGCTAATTTCTAGAGTGGATACATATCTATCTACCTCATCTCTTTTCCTTTTTCTTTCAGAATAGACTTTTTTGAATCAATTTGGCTTTTCATCAATTCTTCGTGATTGTGAGTCCGACTCCAATGGGAGTTTCCTGCAATGTCAGTCATGCCTGGTGTTAATTTGGGGCTAATTTTGTTTTATCATACACATTTAAATCTCATTCCCTGTTGTAGCTGGGGCTTCATTTAGCCAATAAGAAGGATGTTTTGGTTCTGAAAGCCTAGCTGTCTGCTTATCACCCATTGCCCTCTTGTGAACTGTCCCAAGTTGTGTCTAAAGCCAACAACAAACCTAACTTGGTTAAGTGTTGTAAAAAATGAGGAGCCTCAGAGTTGCATGCCTTTTAGAATTTACGAAAGCAGCCAAACCAAACAAACTTCAAAGTTGTTTTGCCAGGGATAGAGGTCTTCATCCTCCAAGCAGTGGGACATCTGGATTTCTGTATGAAGCTTCCTTGGTTTGTTTCAGAAATAAATGCCAGCCCCAAGTGTCAGTAGTCTGTGATGAAATGGCAAAGAACTGAGAGACCCCGACATGGCTGGATAATCACCAGATCATCTTTCACCACTACACTACTTCTAAATCTGTCCTCCCCAGCTAGAGGATTCTCCTGGAATATGGTGACTATGATGTATCTCATTTTAGGTACCTTATACTGCATGGAATGGTGAGAATCAATAGAAGGAACCAGAACTAGGATTCATTTTCTAATAAATGTGTGGCTGGGAAAGAAGCCTGGGATGATGCTCATCCCACTAAAACAGTCCTATTCAATTTAAGTTAAATACATTTTATTTATTAAAAAAATTTTTTTAAAAACATTTCTAAAATGTTTTAAAAACTAATGTTTTGTTTTTCTGCTGGTTCATGAGTTTTGGTAAAATATAGATATCAATCCTAGTTCTGTATTTATGGCATAGGAGATAAGGTTTTTATTAAATAATAGCAAAATGTTTATTACAGCAGAACAATTTGGATGTCACAGTGAAAAGAATCAGTGGAATTTTCCTCTATTTTATGTGAGTGAGATGGAGAATCTGGAGGGAGGATATAAAAGAACAAAGGATATTTGCCTTAACTTTTCAATCTTTGTGGGACAAGAGATATTAATCTTTTGTAAGCATTGTTCAAAAATTTTATTTTGCTTACTATGCAAACTCCTAACATGATTATCTAAATTTTTAAAAACCAAACCATATTTTACTCATGTGTGAATAATAGAAGCTAGCATTTTCCCTTTAACTAGTTCCCTACACAGTGTCAGACTTTTTTGAGTTTATTTGAAATGTATTCATGGAGAACATTTAATATAGGAATCTTAATCAGAACGGGATATAATAGGAGGGGAGGTTACCAAGGTAGATGGCAATGTAGGAGACACCAGCCTTTATTCCCCCACAACTAAAAAACCAAATACAGGCAGCTATTCACAAACCCAAATAGCCCAGAGGGAGCTCCAGGGTCCATTAAATAATCTGCAGCAACACAATGGAGCAAGGGAAATGAAGAATATCTACATAGGACAGGATCACTGGTGAGGTGGTGCATACCTGAGGCACAAAGAGTAGCCAGGAAAAAAAGAAGGCAGATGCTATTGGTATCGGCCATGTGGCACAAACTACCATAGTCTCCAGAGGCCTGCTCTGTAGAGGACACTGGCATCACTTGCCACTGAGGTAAACAACAGCCCTTTTGCTGGGGAACCCCAGAGAGGGAGATGCATCTGCACACTCACTACCATCCAAGAAGCAGCTACTCTTGAATTACTTTGAAGAAAGCTCTGCCAATTCTCCCATGCTCCAGTGAGCCCTGATCCTGAAGCCACAGCTGCTCTGCTAGTGCCTACACTGCAGGCCCAGGCTCTGTGGCTGGACTGGGCCCACCTCTGACACTGGAACCATTGCTACAGTGAGCTAGTTCATGCTCCAGGTCTCGGAACCACACCTTTACTGTGCATGCCCCAGCTCCAGGCCCTGGATCAGCTGCAGCAGAGAGCTAGAACTCACCCCAACTCAGGAGCTGCTCTAACTCTATGCATGCTTCTTCCCTCTTTCTGGGCTCTGAAAGCTACTTCACAAGCATCTGGGCCTCACATACTGCTACCAACATTGGCAGCAGGGGTACCCATGTCCCAAGCAACAGCCCAGCTGCCATAGACAGCTAAGCACAACTCTGTCCCCAGAGCTGCATTAACTCTGAGCACATCTGTGCTCCCATTCTTGGCTACCTCAGCTGTCTCATAAGCATCTGTTACCTCACATTCTGTTATCAATACAGTAGTGAAATGTCTGTGCACTAGGCCCTGGGGTTTTTAAACTGCTCCAGATCCCATAGCCATAGTCTCTCCACTCATGCTCATGCTTCAGTCCTTCCACAGCCACTCTACAAGTGCGACTGCCACTGCAAGTGAGCCCATGAGTCAGAACCAGTGCCACAGGGCATTTAACCTCTGCAATGAGAGAAAAATCAGGATGTCCTTGGCAGCCATACCCAAAGACCTCAATATGCCTCACTGCCACTGTAGATATCTATAGCATTAGCCACCGAGGGGCACTGAAATCTTTACCAACACTGACCTCGGTGGGCAGATCTATACAGGGAATACATAGCTGGTATTCTCAGTAGTCCCAGAATTGCTATACCTCACCCAGCAAGTACCCTTGCACCCTCCTTCTCCCACAGAGGAAAATCTTTCCACATTGAAACCAGCCTGTAAAGTCTGTAATTGGTGACTGATCCACAAAATGCACAGGCATCAATGTAAGGCAACAAGAAACATGAAAAATGGAGAGGACATAATACCACTAAAAGATGACAATAATCTCCCAGTAGCAGACCTGGACAAATAATTCAAAATAATTGTTTTACAGAATCTCAGTGAACTTCAACCAAACAAAGAGAAACAATTCAGTAAAATCAGAAAACCAATAAAAAACCAGAATGAGAAATTTACAAAAGAGAGGGAAATTGTTAAAATAAACAAGCAAACAAATGCTGGAGCTGAAAACTACCATGAATGAAATAAAAAATGCAATAGAGAGTATTAATTGCAGAACTGATTAAGTAGAAGAAAGAATCTGTGAACTTGAAGACAGCTTAATTGAAAATATATAGTCAGCAGAGAATAAAAAGAATAAAAAGGAATAAAGAAAGCTTACAGAATTTATGGAACAGCATCAAAAGAGCAAATATTTAAGTCATAGGAATTCAATAAAGAGAAGGGAAAGACAAAGGGTAGAAAGCTCATGTAAAAAAATAATAGTAAGAGCATGAGAGTATTCTAAGAAAAAAATAATAGTAGAAAACTGTCCAAATCTGGGGAAAGATACAAATATTTAAGCATAGGAAGGTCAAAGGTCTCTTAACAAGATTCAGTCCAAACAAGACTATACTAAGACATATCATAATCGAACTGTAAAAAATCAAAGGCAAAGCGGCAATCCTAAAAGCAGTAAGAGAAAAGGAGCAAATAACATATAAGGGAGTTCCAGGAAGGCTAGCAGCAGACTTCTCAGCAGAAACCTTACAGGCCAAGAAAGAGTAGGCTGACATATTCAAAGTGCTGAAGGAAAGAAATTGCCAACCAAGAGTAATGTACACAGCAAAGCTGCCATTCAAAATGAAGAAGACGTAAAGACTCCCAGATAAACAAAAGCTGAAGTAGTTCATCACCACAAAATCTGTGCTACAAAAAGTGCTAACAGGAGTTCTTTGAACAGAAAGTAAAGAATAACATCTAGCAACATTAAAACATATGAAAGCATAAAACTCACTGGTAAAAATAAGTACACAAATTCAGAATACTCTAATACTGTAATGGTGGCATATAAATCACTTATACTTTAGTATGAAGGTTAAAAGGCAAAATTAATAAAAAGTAATAGCTACAACAATTAATAAGTGATACACAATATAAAAAGATGTAAATTGTGACATTGAAAATATAATAGGTAGGGTGTAGAATAAAAGTATAGAGTTTTTGTATGCAATCAAAGTTAAGTAGATATCAACTTCAAATAGCCTGTTATAAATATAAAATCTTTCATGTAAGGCTCATGATAACCACAAAGCAAAATCCTATCACAGATATTTAAAAAATAAAAAGTAAGGAGTCAAAGCATGCCATTAGAGAAAAATCACCTAGTCACAAAGGTAGGCAGAAAGAAAGGAAGAGAGGAAGCAACAACAAGAAAACAGTTAAGAAAATGGCAGTAATAAGTCCTTACCTATCAATAATTGTCTTAAATGTAAATAGACTGAATTCTCTAATCAAAAGATATAAAGTAGCTGAACGGATACAGAAAAAAACCTCAACTATATGTTGCGTGCAACAGATTCACTTCATCCTTTAGGATACACACACAAAAACAGATCGAAAGTGAAGGGATGGAAAAACGTTCCATGCAAATGAAAACCAAGAAAGCAGGAGTAGCTATGCTTACATCAGATAAACTTTAAGTCAAAAGCTTTAAAATGAGAAAAAGATGATCATTATGTAATGTTAAAGGGATAAATTTGTCAAGAAGATGTAACAATTATAAATCTATATGCACCCAATATTGAAACACCTAAATATATAAAGCAAATATTAATACATCTGAAGAGAGAGACAGACTGTGATACTATAATAGTATGGAACTTCACTACCCCACTTTCAACAATGGACAGATCAAAGAGACAGAAAATCAATAAGAAAATGCAGATTTGAACTACTTTAGACCAAATGAACCTAAAGTACATACACAAAACATTCCATCTAATGGTGGCAAAATACACATATTTCTCAAATGCACATGGAACATTTTCTAGAATAGATCATATGTTAGGCCATAAATGAAGGGTTAAAAAATTTTAAGAGAACTGAAATCAGAGCAAGTATCTTTTCTAACCACAGTGGTATGAAACTAGAAATCAACCACAGAAGGAAATGTGAAAAATTCACAAATATTAAACAACATGCTCCTAAACAACCAATGGGTCAAAGGAGAAATTAAAAGAAAAATTTAAAATTACCTTGAGACAAACAAAAATGGAAACACAATATGCTATAAATTATGAAATACAGTAAAAGCAGTTCTAAGAGGGAAGTTTATAGCAACAAATGCCTACATTGAAAAAGCAGAAAGACTCCAAACAAACAGCTTGATGTCACATCTCAAGGAATTATAGAAAGAATAAACTAAGTTCAAAGTTAGAAGGAAGGAAAGAGATAAAGATCTGAGCAGAAATAAATGAAATAAGACTAGAAAAAAAAAAAAGAAGAGATCAATGAAAGTAAGAGTTGATTTTTGAAAAGATAAACAAAATCAGCAAAACTTTAGCTAGACTAAGAAAAAGAGAAGACCAAATAAATGAAATCAGCAATGAAAGAGGAGAATACAACTGATAACACAGAGGATTATAAGAGACTACTATGGATAATTACATGCCAACCACTTGGATAACCTAGAAGAAATAGATAAATTTCTAGACACATACAACTTATCAAGACTAAATCTTGAAGAAATAGAAAACCTAAACAGAACAATAATGAGTAAGGGCATTGAATTAGTAATAAAAAGTTTCACATTAAAGAAAAGTCTAGCACCTGATGGCTTTACTATTGAATATTACCAAACATTCAAAGAAGAACTAACACCAATCCTTTTCAAACTCTTTCAAAAAACTGAAGAGGAGGAAAAACAACCAAACTCATTTTATGAAGGCAGCATTACTCTGGTACAAAAGCCAGACAAAGGCACTATAAGAAAAGGAAATTAAAAGCCAATATCCCTGATGAACGCACATGTAAAAATTCTCAACAAAACCCTT